CAAAATAATTCGGGGGTAATTTCTATATGTATGAATGTTAGTGCGTGTTTGTGCACGATTTTGTTCATCCTCTTCGAAGATTAATAACTCCTGTGATTTTTGTCAAAATTTTCTTAAATTTTGCAGATAAATTTATGTATTGAAGGTATTGATGCTGTTAAATTTTGGTGGTTAAAGGTCGAGGGGTCAGGAAGATAATGGAGATCGTGTGTGTCTCTAGTAGGGTCGAACTTAATGACAATTTTACTCGTTATTATCATTTACAATTTTTTATAAAACTCATTCCTACCCTCAAAATTAAGCTTTTTTCTATTTTATAATAGTTAAAATATAAAAAAGCTTTTTAATAAAATATGATAACAGCATATTAAATGTTAGCCTTTCTATTTTGATTAATAATATATTACAGTAGATTCTCAATTAACCGGCACCCATGGGGACTGGTAAATACGGTATAAACATAGTTTCTGAAATCTCAGATAATGATTTATTAATTAAAATTATTGTTATATTGTTTAGTTGGCGCGGGATCAGCAGGATCTGTGGTGGCAAATAGATTGTCAAAAGACCGCAGTATAAGTGTTTTGCTTTTAGAGGCAGGATCCTGTCCTAGTCTTATCTCAGAAATCGCATCCTTTCCTGCGGAGTTACAGAAAACAAAATATGATTGGAAATTTAAAACAGTTCCTCAAAAAAATTCTTGTTGGGGACTTAAAGATCAGGTGTTTATTTATTTATTAACTATAAAAATCTTAATAAAATTTATTAAGAAAGTTATTCTTTTACAATAGCGTAGCTCCTGGCCTCGAGGTAAAGTTTTAGGTGGAAGCAGCATTCTTAATTCTATGATGTACGTAAGAGGGAATAAAAGAGACTTTGATCAATGGGCTAAAGATGGAGCGATAGGTTGGAGTTATGATGAAGTTTTATCTTATTTCAAAAAATCCGAAGATAATCGAATCACCGAGTTTAATAAAAACGGTACAAAATTCGTGTTAAATACAGATATCCCTCGACTTACGATATTTCGACATATTTATAAATGCTCCAGTGCATATTAGCAAACGAAGGCCTCTCTATACGATTCAAACAGAACAAAACAACTACTCTTCCAGTCCTATAACTGCAGTAATCTCATATTCTCTATATACATTTCATAACAGCTATAATAAATGTGCATTCTGTTTTCGTCATTACTGACACTGATTACTGTTTATGGTTATCTTAGCATGAAATTGTTTCACGGAATGTTACTTTTGTAGAGAACACGCGACCTCTCTCACGTAATTGCTATAAAACCAGGTGGTCACGAGAAGGTCGTGACCATCTGGTTTCATGTTTTTGTTCGCGTATACTATGTCCTACTGTCTGATCAAGTCGAGGGAAATCTGTATAGAAAAAAAATATGATCTATATAAATTAATAATTTATAATTGAAAATCGATTTATTTAGGTTATCACGGCATAGGAGGAGAACTGACTNCAAAATGCATATTAGACATATAAGGCAGTAATAGTTTCATGTGTGTGTTAACCTTTCAAATAAATAATGTACTATGTATGTGTAAAAAGTATTTTTGTACTATATACTCCTAACCACTCATTCCTTTATATTATAGGGCTAATTTTAAGTGCCTATTTCAGGCACCTAAAACTGAATTTTTTGCTGCTAGAAAATCTAAAGTTTATTAATGATTCAGATAACTTGATTAAACATTCATTCCAAAAAACAACTATTTTAAATTTTAACTGACATCAAGAGATTTAATTTATATATTAATTAAATAAAAATTAGAATAATAGTTCTTTTATACCTTTAATGGATTTTTGGATGGTATCAAGACATTTCTGTAATTGATTTCTTTCAATATTATCAATCAGATGACGTTTATCCTTAAAAAAAAAAAATTATTTAAACAGAAAGTAAAGACATTTTGGCTTTATTAACATTATATTATATTACAAATTACTGTACAAATAAAAAGGTAAATACGAGGGCTATTTTTTAAATAAGGTCCATTTGTGAATGAGAGTGAGAATGACAAGTGATTGCGGCAGTGCACATGTGCGTCTGCTCTGAGCATGCTTTGCGTGCATTTAGACACCATTTGCAGCCGTATTGTCTGTCTGTGTGCTGAGATCTAAAAGTTTATAATGTTTAAGAAAATTGAGTTGCCCGCCGACTATGAGATATGATCTGTTATTCGATTCTTGAGAGCAAGAAACTTGGCAGCAGTGTAAATTCACCATCAGATTTGTGAAGTTTATGGTGATAATGCTATGAATGATAGCAAAGTTTGAAAAAGGGTGAGAATGTTCAAGGACCAGAGGGTTAATGTTCATGATGAGCCATGCCGTGGCCAACCTTCTCTGATTTCTGAAGATTTGGTTTGTGATGTGGATAACAAAATTCGAGAGGACTGACAATTTACAATTTCAATGTTATCAATTGAATTTCCACAGGTTTCAAGATCAGTTTTGTATACCATTGTTTCAGAGAAACTGAATTATCGAAAATTGTGTTCTCAGTGGGTTCCAAGACTGCTTTCTGACAATCACAAAACAAAAAGATTGGACAGTGATTTATCGTTTTTGACTCGATACGATCAGGAAGGATATGAATTGTTGGACCACATTGTTACAGATGAGACTTGGGTGTCTCATATGACTCCTGAGTCCAAGCAACAGTCAATGAAATGGTGACACACATCTTCGCCAACCAAAGTGAAAGCCAAACAGTCCATTTCAGCACAAAAAATTGTGGCAACTGTCTTTTGGGACAGGAAAAGGATTTTGTTAGAGGATTTTATGCCGAGAGGCATAATAATCAATTCTGATGCATATTGTGTGACCTTGAGAAAATTCCAGCATGCCATACAAAACAAATGGCATGGTCTACTGTCTTCCAGTGTGATGTTGCTCCATGACAACACAAGGCCACATGTTTCTGCACAAACACAAGGTCTAATCAGTTCTTTTGGATGGGAACAACTGGATCATCCACTTTACAGTTCAGACCTTGCACCCAGTGATTTTCACTTGTTTCAATACTTAAAGAAGTTTTTGGTGGTTAATGGTTCAACAATGACGAAGAAGTGAAAACTGCAGTCATGGATTAAACTTTTTCACAGGCGGCAGATTTCTTTGAAGTTGGAATTCAAAAAATTGTTGAATGGTATGACAAATGTTTAAACAAAAATGGAAATTATGTAGAAAAGTAGATAAAAGTATGTAGAATATGGGAAAAAATATATTTTAATGATATTTACAGTATTTTTCTTCTTATTGAAAAATGGGCCTTATTTAAAAAATAGTCTTCATACTATTAAATCTAACTATAATACAAAAAAAATTTGTGTTAACAGAATCAGAATTAATATACAAAAATTAATAATAAGTCTATAAAATTCATTTAGAAATAGGTCTAATAAAACATATTTATTTGAAAAATCTATTAAAGAAATTATTATATTACAAACACCTTCCACATATTTATTTACTAATTATTGTTTAAAAATATTTTACTATCATCTGTTACTACTTTCTTAATAATATATAATATACTTTAAAAAGGCATTATTTTTTATGTAAGAAATAGACATTAATTAAAGATCTCAGAGTTTTATTTATTAACTATTTTTAATAATCTGCAATACTTGTCTTTGCATTTAAATATAACTATGAAATATAAAAAAATACTTTAATTTCCTGCCTACAATCTATAGAAGTAAGTTTTCCTTGACAAAAGTTTATTATCATATAATTTGTACAAGCTCATGTTATCTTTTAATTGCTTTTTGGCAAATCATCAGCAATGATATTATACAAGTTGTAAGAACATTTAATAATTAAAAAAAAAAAAAAAAAGGTTCTCAAATCTAAGAAAAAAATTAAACAATTCATTAGATTTCTGGATTTGAATTCTGTTTGATTAACATTATAAAAAGACTTAGATATATTAAGTTTCACAATTGCAGAAAAGTAGCCTGATGTAATCTGATGGTTGTTTGAAAAAGCATATTAAATGCAACTACAGTTAATGATCTTGAATGTTCATTTTGTTGTTTTTTCATTTAAATTAAGGTAGATGTTCCAACTGTAAAAGGCTTATGAAAGTCGGTTGAAAATGTTTTATATTGAAATATATTGTTGGAGTCATACTAGGTGTACTGCCTCTTTCACTCTTGTTTTCTCCTTTATTTGAATATAGTAATAAAATATAGATACATATATTCAATACTTTCATAAATTAACACTGAACATGTTATAGTGTGTGTTAAGGATGGAAAATCTGCAGAGTTACTTGATGTTATGCTATATCAAACAACTACAGATTTTGTCCCATATTTTTTGCCGATGACAGAGTGTGGTGCAAACGTGCCAATCACAAGAAGTGGAAGAATACAGAATAATTTTTACATTCTGTATGAAGTAAGGATGAATAGACTATAGATTTGATTCAAAGTCTGAAAATTTCACAAGTGAGCCCATCCTGATATGATCTGTTTCATCTATCACATAGTCACCTAGATTATGTGCATGACTACCATGTCACCACATAATCACCATGATTATGATGAGCATGCATAATCGACCTATGTATATGAGAGTAAAAAGTTAAAAAAACATTCTTATCACTTGGCCATCTGCTTTTGTAAAAAATAAACATAGAAAATACTGTTCTGACCGTGACCTTAACTTTGGCAAGTTAACTGGAAAAATAAAAGGCAGATATCTGGTGTCTGTTGTTGCTGCACAGTATGGTTTGAGCAGGTCTACAGTAGGCTGCAGTTCAATCTTATCTAAGAAAGATACAGTACAATCAAGAAGACTCAAGCAGCTTAAGGAGTAACAAAAATCATATCTGAGAAATAAAGAACATTGAAGAGCTCATAATAGAACCTGAAATTGATCTGACAACAGAAGAACGCCAAGAAAACATATCTCGCCAAGAAACTTGGCGAGATATGTTTTCTTCTGAAAAAAGAGGATTAATGCCGACATCTGCTATTAAACATCTTTTGAAGTGGGATAATGTCAGAACAACAGTCTTAGAATGGCATCCAAACCAAGTTGAGGTTAATAGACTTAGGAATCTCTACAATTACAATGCTATTAATTACTTCAGAAAAATCTTGAAGAAGAGAGAAAAGCAATCGACATTAGACAGATACTTTAACCCCCACAAACAGAAAAATCATGACTAATAAAAATGCAAGACTGTGTATATATGTATTTTTATTATTACATATAAATAAACATAGTAAGAAAGTATATATTTTTTTATTTTTTGAGGTCTCCAGACCAAATTAATCAAATTCCCATAAAAACCTACGGTATATCAATAATTGATTAATGAGCAATTCGGATAGCAAACAAAGTCTTGGAACGGATTATGTTCGTTAACCGATCACCCACTGTATATACTAATGTCAATATTTAAATAATATAGTAATCATGAGTAATTAGAATATATTTATAATTTTTTACCGCCATTCTAATAGCTTTGGTCATGTCACTCCAGGATTTATAATGTGAAGCTTTTGTGCGCAATTTCTCCATAAGGTTTTCCAACGGGTCATCTTTCTCCACGTCTCCGTTAACTTCTGGAACTAAAAAACAAAAAAATTATTTGTCATTATTTTCAGTTTTAACATAATAGCATTTGATCTATTGAACCAATAATTAGCATGCTGAAATCTTTTAAGTATAAGTATGAAATTAATTGTCAGCATACTTTATTTGTTTATGCCGTGCATATATTTGCATGTATAAAAATAAATATATATAAATAAACACACAAAAAATATGACAGTCAAAATTTTGTAGGAAAAATTTAATTCTTTACTACAAAATTTTTAAATTTAAATAAACCATAATTTAGTAAAACTGATGAACACACTCAACACCAAATTAGTACAATTAATAAATAAACACTGTCAGTGTATATTTATTACACATAACTTAATGTTTATTATTTAATAAACGTAAATTTCTGTAAATTTTATATATATTATTTATATTTTGATAGATAATATATAATTTTAATAATATATTATAAATAAAGATAACATATATATTTTCTGATACATATATTTATATCAAAAATAAACCGAACTTTTGATAACAACAGTTGTCATTGCAAACATGTGCATTTGAGCATACAGGTAACCCACGTATAACATGGCACTTCTATAGCACGGATTCACTCTAACACAGTTTGAGAATTGGTACCATCCCCGTATAACACAGTACTGTTATAGCACGGATTCACTCTGACATGGTTCGAGAATTGGGTAAAACCCTCATACAACATGAAATGTAATAAATTTTTACATACTTAAGTAATAATAGTTCATGAAAATTATTATTTTCGTGAATTATTAGTACTTAAGTATGTAAATTTTCTTTTCTCGCCTTCTGTCGATACACATGGTCCTTCTTGAAACTTGTTTCAGTGTTGCCAGATGTTTTTCCCTTATTCCATACTTTCTTTATTCTTCGTAAGTGCTTAGCACCATATAAAGAAAATTATAAAGATCTTTTAACTAGAAGCGAGCAATCTAAAATTACATACTTTTTGCAAAAGGTAAAGCATGGATCTGAAGATAATGCAGAAAAATGTTCAGAGGATAAGGATAACTTGCCAAAAAGAAAACGCTCTCAGTTAATAGTGCTTTTAGTGATGACAAACAAAACATTGTTTAATTTATATTAATATGTGTCACTTAAGAAAATTTTAATAAAAATATTTATCTTAATTATGAAAATATAATAGCATGTTTTTTAATTTTTGGAACCTAACCCTCCTTTTCGTACTAGTTCTTTGTTTTGTATAACACTGATTCGTATAACACGGCAATTTTTTGGAACGTAACTACCCGTGTTATACGGTGGTTACCTGTATTTCAATCTTACATAAAACAAGGTTTTACTATATATTACTCAATACTAGAAAGCCCGATAGTTCAATTAATGTTAACTCACTCAAAGTTAAAATTTAAAAAAATTTTTTAAAAAGCAGGCAAATTTATAAAACAAAAATTAATGAAATTACTAAAAAGAAAAAATTAAAATAAATTTAAATTTGATTATTTTATGTGCAAAACAACACTAAAACAATTTCTATAGTTATGTTGCAAAAGAAAAAAATTACAATTAATTTAAAAAATTAAGGATTCAAAAAATGCATGCAGAATTAAATAAATAATAATAATTATTGAAAATAATTATAAAAATTAATTAATACTAAATAAATTAAACCTAAAAATTAATTAAAACCAAAAATAATAATATAATTAAAACTCTGGTCTTTACTCCGAAACCAAATTTAAAATAAAATAAAAACTAATTAAGATGAGATCAATTGAAAATTAAAACATTTTTAAATTGTTAACTTCCTCATACATTAGTTCAAATCTTTTTGATCTCTTAAGACTTTCAATTTCTTAACATTCTCTTTCAAGCCCATATTAATAAATATATTGAAAATGTATTATTTTCTTTTAATTCAAAAATGGACAGAACTTTCCAGTAGTCCCAATATAATCTCAGAAACTGAAATTTTATGGTAACATCATTAATATAAGTGATTTCTGTTGATTGATGAATTATATACATATGCTTATTACTTTCTGTTTCAGAACAGTATAACAGATTTGACAAATTATCAGTTAACTCCAGATGAAATTGTGAGTGAATTTTTTTCTAATTCTAAAATAATAATGAATAAAATGGATTAGCTTATTTATATAAACTTGATCTCAAATTGTTGCAGAAACGACGTCACGTCATTCATAAGTCAAAAAATGCAGAAATTGCAAAATTAGAACTTATTGAAAAATATCATCCAAGTCTTAAAAGTAAGTAGGTAATTGGAGTAATTCATATTTAAAGATGCCAAGTAATATGGACTTTCTAAATATTTTCTTTGATGTATCATGATCTATCTGATCTTGCAATAATATAATAATAATAATAATAATAAATCATGTGTTTTGCAAATGTTCCAGTAAATCATCTTGGCAACGCTGTTGTGTCTCAATTTGTAATTAATCTGTGCAATCTTTTTGCATGAGCTGAGAATATGGTCTGTGGTTTCATCCGATTCATTGCATAGTCTGCATTTAGCGGAAGTTGATGAATTTTCAACTTTAGCTTTGATGACATTTGTTCTAATCGCTTGTTCTTCTGCAGCGAGAATAAGGCTTTTAGTTTCTTTCTTTAATGTTCCTGATGTCAATCGCTCTAGGTTTTGGTTTTGTCCAACTTTTCTGTCAATCTTTTTCGGAAATTGGTCATGCAGTGCCTTATTTTTCCAACCTTCTGCTCTTTCCGTCAATGTTTTTTGCCGATATTCTTTTTTTGTGCCTAGAACCTTCAGCAAGTTTCGATTCTTCACTTTCGTTAGTGCCCATTCTTGGCTATTGTTAATGTAATTNAAAGATGAGACTAGGTATGGAAACCTTAGGAGCGGGAGGTCCCGATAACTATATTATTATATATTAGCAAACTTATGGTGCAAAACGGAAGTCATGTTATTTCAATTCAAAAATTTTCCTTGAAAGGTGTTAGATAGATGATCAGCACGACTCTATTGTTAAAGAAAAAATATGATGTATGGGGGCAAGACACTACTAATTTCAGGTGTAAAGCATATATTTTAAATTTAAAAAATTATTAAAAATATGATCAAAAATTGCAGCCTGGCATCGTGACAATATCACAATAAATAATTGCTCATTTTCTTTTGCTTTTTAGTTTAGATTTTGATTTATTTTAACAGTGTGATGATGATGGTGTAAATTTGTCTTATTTTAAATAAAAAATCACCTATTTTAGCAATATTTTATATTTTTGTTAATTGAAAGATATTAGATTATTTTACTATTTTAAATAAAATCAAAATTTTTACTTATATTAGTAATGATTTATAAATTTTGAATAATCTTATAATAAAATTATTGCACAATCATTATTAAAGATGTTCATCCTCTTAGAATTTGGTTTTGTTACTTAAAATATAGTTAATTAAGAATAAGCATTGATTTTAAAAAAATTATCATATTTTAAATGTTATACTATATTTAACTGTACTAATTCATAACTGTTTTAAAAAAAGTTTTTGAATTTTTATTTTGTTTATTACATACATTGAATTTTAAATATTTTCAAGTGCAGCCATTTATGAAAATTTGATTTTATTGTAGTTGCTAGTTTACTGCTATTGCTTAACATAATCCTACTTGTATAGTTCAATTCAGGATGATTACATATTTAAAAATATAAGGTCAAAATTGGATGAATATATGTATTTATGTATTTAATTCAACATATATATTCACACAAATATATACACTTCTAGATTTTTATATCTTCTGAAATTCATCTCTTCCAATAATGTAAAATATAGATAAATGAGCCAAATTATATTTGTAAGTTAAGAAAATGTCACTTGGAATAAAAATATTTTACAATTATTGACAAATTCCTTTTTTATTATTTCATTCTTAAATGTCTGCTTCAGATGATTAACAATAATACAGTAGTTATATTGTATTTACAAGTTTTTAAATTTAAAATATAATGTACTCCCAATTATCTG